TCAAATTAGGCTATATTGTTGAGAACCTCTCGAGGTGTTACAAAGATCACCAAATTTCATTTCAACACGAATAAGATATTAATATTCACATTAGCTCATGCTACCATGAAATTTGGTGATCTTTGTAACACCTCGAGAGGTTCTCAACAATATAGCCTAATTTGATTGGATAATGAATTCGTCGTGTAAACGAAACGTGAACTGAAAAGCTAGGAAGCACTGGATAGCTGTTTCGACCCAACTGGGGATTGAAACCGAGACCTCACAGAGAGAGAACGCAAGCATACTAACCACTCATCCATCGGGCAGCTTATCAGACCGCTTTTCATTCTCCATTTGCATGATACATCATAACCCATCTTTTCGAGCTAGTTGTGGATATCTCGCTTCGCTCATTTCAGCACAATCCTCTGGGGTTATGACTCGGTTGGAAACTTTCACAATCTGATTATTTGTTGTATGAAAGAAATGGTGGATTTTGTTTGTTTACATGCTGAATTCGTCTTGTAAATAAGGCGTCATCTGATACCCTGGGAAGCACTGGATAGTTGTTTCTACCGGGTGGCATTTGCAACCAAAACCAACATGGAGTTGGGGTTGATAGTAACAACTCCGTCGTGGAATCTTGAATGGTCAGTTTTCCCGCTGTTCACTCCGATATTTTCGACGTGACTGATACCGTGGTCTGGTGTGAGTCATTCTGACGGATTAGCCTCATCACTGTGTTTGCCGCACCGAACGCGTGCGATATGGCAGGGAAATCCGGGCACACTGGAGTCCAAACACTTTAACAGGCAATGTAGAACAGTAGCTTGGTGCATCCTTACTGATTACTATCCCAAGACGATGGATTCTTGATTCATCACAACTCTATGTAGATGGCTTGGGGGTCCAGATGTTTACATTATCTGTTGTTCAAGTGTGTGCCCATCACTCTGAATGATTCAGCATCTCAAATATTTCTATCTGACGTAAGTTTAGATAAAATGAATTATCTTGAACCATTACCATTCAAGCAGAATCATGGTACTTCAAAAGTGCTGTCAATAAACCTCAGAATTATGTGCAGACTAAGTTGTTATTTGTAATTGAAGCACATCGGGAATATTTGTCATTACTTTCAATATTTACCAGATAAATAGAGTGAGATATTAGCAGTTAGTACATCTGAATAAGTGATTGCAAATGAATCTAATAACAATAGTCCTTTTTATGAGAGTAATGGAGGATTTCACTCGATTTCAAAGAGAGAAATTCGTCGTTTACGGATCAAATGAATAGTGAACTGAAGAACTGGGAGGCACTGGACAGTTGTTTCGACCTGGTTGGGTTTCAACAGCAGTAAGAACCCATCGACCCAACTGATAATCGAACCCAGGACCTCACAGGTAGGACGCAAGTATTCTATCCACTCGGCCACCGAGCAGATGATCGGACGGTTTCTCATTTGGAATATGTACGATACAAAGTGGTATACTTACGTTCTATCTGTGAGGTCCCGGGTTCGAGCTCCAGTTGGGTTGATGGATCCGTACTGCTGCTGAGACCCAATTG